TTTAACCCCTAGAGTACTTTATTTTATTTCTGGTCAGGTATACTGAATACGTCTTGCTGATGGGTTTTCCCTTTTTGCATAACTGAAGCTATGTAATATTGGATCTCCATCTTGCCATGTCTGAAGTGGATTTAAAGTGGTTGTAAAGGCTCAAGGTATTCTATACATGATGGTAAAAAACCTTCTGTGTGCAGCACCCCTTCTAGCCTACCCAATACTTACCTGAGCTCCATCGATGTGCATGAGAGCCTCAGCTCTCTGGGGACTCTCCCTCCTCATTGGCCGAGACAGCAGCAAGAGCCAATGAGGAAAGAGTGGGGGGGCAGGGCCATGGCTCTGTGTGTGTGAATGCACAGCTCTGTGTGTGAATGGAATGGACAAGTAGACTCGCTCCTGAGCAGCAGCTCAGGAGCAAGTCTACTTGGGTGTCTCCATAGCAAGCTGCTTGCTCTGGGGACACTCAGCAGGAGGGAGGGGGCAGGAGCGCCAGCAGGGGAAATGAGCAGAGGATCGAGGCTGCTCTGTGCAAAACCACTGCACAGAGCAGGCAGGTTTAACATCCTTGTTTTTTTTAAAATTGGATTTAGTATTAAAAGATAATGTAAACAAAAAGAGATTAAAAGACAGCGTATGAGAAAATTGCAGTTAGTGATCAATAAATAGTCTGTATGGATTTTGCCCTAAAGTCCAACAACGGAAAATTATGATCCTTTTAATAAAATGGTAAACCATGTATACTGACATATCTCATTAAAAACTGCCATAGTATTGCATAGACATATTGGTACAGTCTCACCAAACTAGTAGTGGCATCCCCTGATGGAATGTGGAGACCGATAGAACACTTGTAGCAAGTGGCAGGTTGGATGACCATCGCCGGGTGTGGAGACACTTGTTAATCTAAACACACAGCTCCAGTGCCGATTCCGCTGTTTCCCAGCAGCTGCTAGTTGGAGAAGAACCGGGAAATTAGTTGCCTGTTCTGCTGGCAATACTCAGAACCAGAAGTGATGTCACCACTCTCGGCCAGATATGATATCCACAGGACCTCAGTATTGCAGACGGTGTTTGGGAAGACCCAAGACTCTAAAGACCAGGGTTTTTCATCCAATAATAATATTATCAGTAGAGTATGCAGCTATCAAGGACAGTAAGTTATATAATGTAGCACCCCCCGATGCATGGTGGAACCCCCAGAGACAGGGGGCTGACATTTCACACCTCAGGATGTAGATCTCTTAAGCAATAATAAAAAATGATTGGCAACCAACACCGACTGGTTCGCAAACAAAGAAAGGGTTTTTTTTGCTCACGCTTAACTTCCAGGGGAGAGAGGTAGGGGATGCTGAAGCACATATGCAGGTCTCTATGGCTTAGGACTAATCGCTCAGTGCTCCTCACACACCCTCTCAGGCCACTAGCCTGAGGAGGAGAGAGAACACAGTGACCTTTCCCAAATATTTAGACCCTTTTCCTGTTGCTCCACTGACAAAAGATACTCCTAGTGGTTGGCTGGAAAGATATGAATATTCATTTTTACTGTAGCCTCTCATATTAACCACCAGAGAGGTACCAGTGGTACCTACTGCCAGTAGGAAGAAACCACAGCTCCACTGAATTTAGGGGAAAACCAAGTGAACAAGTAAAACTTTAAATCAACTAGGTTGTTTACCAGACTAGATTTAGATTTTTTATGTTTAGGAGATATTAGCAGATTGTGTATACACCTCAGCCAACCCAATATCATATCAACATTATCAAGTATAGCATACAAACTATCACATATTTCTCCACTGGGTTGAGTCTGAGGTCCAGGAAGCTTGAAGGACAATGTTTGTGAAACTAATGTATACTAACACTGTAACATAAGCAGAATAGATTACATTGGTAGTAATGTCCACCCAGGGTTTTTTCAGACTTAGAAACGCTACCCCCCCATAAGGTGCATCTCCTACAATATGCAGATATGGTGCTATAGGTCTTCAGGAATTGAAAAACTAAGGATCATTTGATTTTTGGAGTTTATTCCCCAGATATTCCAGGAGACTAAATGATGCAGTGTGCTACCAGGACCCAGACCAGACCCAGAGTAGAAGGAATCATCCCACAATACACAAGTACAATTGGTAAGACAACAGATTCAATATTTTGGGGCATGTATGCATTATAACAGTCTGTAATACAATGTCAAGACAACAAAAAACAGTAAACAACCCATCCCTATCCCATCCTAGTACATCCGTTGAAGCAGTTGTGTGATGGATTGTTAAACATTTGGTAACAAACCAACTGGAGTTTTGAACATATTCAAGTGGGAGAATGACTGATAACACTTTCAAAAAGTAAGCTGCCATTCACGAGAAAGTGAGCTGTTAGCTTAGGGTACTAACTTTGTTAGTTAATAAAACAATCAACCAGGTGAACAGTGAAAGTGGATCCTGCTCAGCTTAGGAAGATGGTCTCCTTAAGGATGTAAATCCCATACCAAGAAATCTTATGTAGAAGAAACAGAAGCTGGATATCATCAGAGCAGGAAGTGTCTAGGAATGGACTGGCCAGCAATGGTGGGACTTCACCTGCCTTTTGATCTGCAGTACCAGGGTCTGGCCAGCGGGTGCTCCCAGCAATCAGAGACTCAACCTTTCAGCCAGGCTAACACCTGAAAACTGATGATACTGGTGTATTTAAGGGATGGCCAGACTTGCAGACTCTGCCTTGGTGTTGTGTTTGTCCTGGGCCCTGTATCTGTCCTGCATCCTGTTTCCTGTTCCTTTGCTACCTGTTCTGATCCTGCTTGTGACCCTGACCATCCCTCTGCCTTGACCCTCTGTACTACGCTGCTTGCTAACCTGTTCTGATCCCTGGCTTGTGACCCTGACCATCCCTCTGCCTGACCCCCTCTTGTACTACGCTGCTTGCTACCTGCTGAACCTGGCCTGTGACCCCGACCATTCTCCGCTTGCTCCCCTTGTACCTACCTGCCCAATTGATATTGAAACTCGGCCTGCCTGACGACGCTTGCTTGTATGTACTGTTATCTGGGGGTGGTTGGTTGGGTTTGTTTGCACTGTATTATGTTTAGTATTGCACTGCGTTTTATGTTTGTATTGTTAGTGTTAATAAATTACATTGTTAATCACATATCTGAAAAAGGGGGGTCTGCGTTTCCCTGCTTCAGTCACACACCTCTGGTCATACTAGGAGCCCTGACATTACACCAAGGCCAATCCTGACCAGAAGTGGCTGCACAGGGAAGCCATCTTTGGCTTGTTGATGGGAAGGATGGATCTGGATGAGGTTGCGTATTTATAATCTGCTAGTGGTTTGATGACAGGGAGTATGCTTATCAAACTCTGAAGGAGTATACCCGGGATGAACTGCTAGAATGTATACGCTCTCGCTCATGTTTCTAGTAGGTCAGGGCACAGAGTTCTCTGAGGTGCAGCCTTTGATTGAGGTTTGTGCAGAGTTGGTTTCATCTGGTACCCCCCCGAATGCAGGGATGAATTTTTGCCACCATTTAGTGCAGACCAGGTACGAGTCCCTGGTGTGGTTATTAGAGGATGGATGTGGGTTACTTTCTGGAGCGTTATTCCAACATGTTCACCACAGGGACACTAAGAGATTGTATAACGCAGTGCAGTCATTGACCAGACAGGCTTGTGTGTAAGCTCAGCTTTGTTCAACCCCTACTGCAGACATGGACAGACTTGTTGCACCCAGCCTCAGTCAGCTTACAAAAACCCAGTCCTGCTTCTAACTCTACTCTGTATTCCAACAGCTCCTCCAGTTACAGCCCAAGTATACTTGGCTATCTACCGCATGTCAGTACCCTGTTCCCACTCGCTGCACCTATCCTGCCTTTTTAACCCTGTAAAAAAGCCCTCTGTAGCAACTGCTCCCTCTCCTGTTCCATCTCCAGTTCTTCACCTGTCTCCAGCTGCTCCATTCGTTTGCAGACCTGCGTTTACTTGCAGTGCTCCAGTAGTTAAAACCAGAAAAAAGCGAAAATTTTCCAACCAATACCATCCTGCCAGTATCCAAACCGGTGAGCCTTGCCTTTCCGTGGTTCAGCCTGAAGCCTCTACTCAGCCTGAAGCTCTACTCAGCCTGAAGCCTCTACTCAGCCTGATGCCTGTACTCGGCCTGATGCCTGTACGCAGCCTGATGCCTCTCTTCAGCCTGATGCCTCTCTTCAGCCTGATGCCTGTATGCAGCCCTGATGCCTCTCTTCAGCCTGATGCCTGTATGCAGCCTGATGCCTCTCTACTCGGCCTGATGCCTCTACTCGGCCTGATGCCTCTACTCGGCCTGAAGGCCTCTACTCGGCCTGAAGCCTCTACTCGGCCTGATGCCTCTACTCGGCCCTGATGACCTCTACTTCGGCCTGAATGCCTCTACTCGGCCCTGAAGCCTCTACTCGGCCTGATGCCTCTCTTCGGCCTGATGCCTCTCTTCGGCCCTGAAGCCTCTACTCGGCCTGATGCCTCTACTCGGCCTGATGCTCTACTCGGCCTGATGCCTCTACTCGGCCTGAGCCTCTACTCGGCCTGATGCCTCTATCGGCCTCTACTCGGCCTGATGCCTCTACTCGGCCTGATGCCTCTACTCGGCTGAGCCTCTACTCGGCCTGAAGCCCTCTACTCGGCCTGAAGCCTCTACTCGGCCTGAAGCCTCTACTCGGCCTGAAGCCTCTACTCGGCCTGAAGCCTCTACTCGGCCTGAAGCCTCTACTCGGCCTGAAGCCTCTACTCGGCCTGAAGCCTCTACTCGGCCTGAAGCTCTACTCGGCCTGATGCCTCTACTCGGCCCTACTCGATGCCTCTACTCGGCCTGAAGCCTCTACTCGGCCTGAAGCCTCTACTCGGCCTGAAGCCTCTACTCGGCCTGAAGCCTTACTCGGGCCTGAAGCCTCTACTCAGCCGCACGCCGGCATTCAAGCCTCTATGATGCCTCTACCCAGCATGATGAACTGATCCAGCCTGACGATCCTATTAGGCCAGTTGACTCGATGCCCGCTGTTGATCCAGATGATCCGGTACCTGATCCGGTGCCCGCTGTCGTGCCAATTGACTCAGAGCCCGCTGTCGTACCTGGTGACTCGGTGCCCACTGCCTTGCCAGATGACGCGGTGCCCGCTGGCGAGCCAAATGACCTGATGCCTGGTGACCCAGTGCCCGCTGTCATACCTGGTGACCCGATGCCGCTGTCGAGCCAGACGATCCAATGCCCGGTGACCCGGTGCCCACTGCCTTGCCAGATGACGCGGTGCCCCGCTGGCGAGCCAAATGACTGATGCCTGGTGACCCGATGCCCGCTGTCCAGCCAGACGATTCAATGTCTGCCCCAGTGCCCGCGGTCATGCCAGTTGACTCGGAACCCACTGCCTTGCCAGATGACGCGGTGCTCGCTGTCAAGCCAAATGACTTGATGCCTGGTGACCCGATGCCCGCTGTCCAGTCAGACGATCCAATGTCTGACCCAGTGCCAGCGGTCATACCAGTTGACTCGGAGCCCACTGCCTTGCCAGATGACGCGGTGCCCGCGGTCGAGCCAAATGACCTGATGCCTGGTGACCCGATGCCCGCTGTCCGGTCAGACGATCCAATGTCTGACCCAGTGCCCGCGGTCATACCAGTTGACTCGGAGCCCACTGCCTTGCCAGATGACGCGGTGCCCGCTGTCGAGCCAAATGACCTGATGCCTGGTGACCCGATGCCCGCTGTCCAGCCAGACGATCCAATGTCTGACCTAGTGCCAGCGGTCATGCCAGTTGACTCGGAGCCCACTGTCGTGCCTGGTGACTCGGTGCCCGCTGCTCCGCCTGGGGGCCCGAGACCTGTCGCTCCGCCTGGGGGTCCAGCGCCCGCCGCTCCACCTGGGGGTCCGGCGCCCGCCGCCCCGCCTGGGGGCCCGAGACCTGTCGCTCCGCCTGGGGGTCCGGCGCCCGCCGCTCCGCCTGAGGGCCCGAGACCTGTCGCTCCACCTGGGGGTCCGGCGCCCGCCGCTCCGCCTGAGGGCCCGAGACCTGTCGCTCCATCTGGGGGTCCGGCGCCCGCCGCTCCGCCTGAGGGCCCGAGACCTGTCGCTCCACCTGGGGGTCCGGCGCCCGCCGCTCCGCCTGAGGGCCCGAGACCTGTCGCTCCACCTGGGGGTCCGGCGCCCGCCGCTCCACCTGAGGGCCCGAGACCTGTCGCTCCGCCTGGGGGCCCGAGACCTGTCGCTCCACCTGGGGGTCCGGCGCCCGCCGCTCCGCCTGAGGGCCCGAGACCTGTCGCTCCACCCGGGGTCCGGCGCCCGCCGCTCCGCCTGAGGGCCCGAGACCTGTAGTTCCGCCTGGGGGTCCGGCGCCCGCCGCCCCGCCTGGGGGCCCGATGCCTGTCGCCCCGCCTGGGGGCCCGATGCCTGTCGCCCCGCCTGGGGGCCCGATGCCTGTCGCTCCACCTGGGGGTCCGGCGCCCGCCGCTCCGCCTGAGGGCATGAGACCTGTCGCTCCACCCGGGGGTCCGGCGCCCGCCGCTCCGCCTGAGGGCCCGAGGCCTGTAGTTCCGCCTGGGGGTCCGGCGCCCGCCGCCCCGCCTGGGGGCCCGATGCCTGTCGCCCCGCCTGGGGGCCCGATGCCTGTCGCCCCGCCTGGGGGCCCGATGCCTGTCGCCCCGCCTGGGGGCCCGATGCCTGTCGCCCCGCCTGGGGGCCCGAGGCCTGTCGCTCCATCTGGGGGTCCGGCACCCGCCGCTCCGCCTGAGGGCCCGAGACCTGTAGTTCCGCCTGAGGGCCCGAGACCTGTAGTTCCGCCTGAGGGCCCGAGACCTGTAGTTCCGCCTGGGGCCCGATGCCTGTGGCCCCGCCCGGGGGCCCGGTGCCTGCCGCTCCGCCCGGGGGCCTGGTGCCTGCCGCTCCGCCTGGTGGCCCGCTGCCTGCCGCTTCGCCTGGTAGCCCGATGTGCCTCTGCCCGGGGTCCTGCCCGATGTGCCTCTGCCCGGAGTCCTGCCCGATGTGCCTCTGCCCGGAGTCCAGCCCGATGTGCCTCTGCCCGGTGTGCCTCTGCCCGGAGTCCAGCCCGATGTGCCTCTGCCAGGAGTCCTGCCCGATGTGCCTCTGCCCGATGTGCCTCTGCTCGGAGTCCAGCCCGATGTGCCTCTGCCCGGAGTCCTGCCCGATGTGCCTCTGCCCGGTGTGCCTCTGCCCGGAGTCCAGCCCGATGTGCCTCTGCCCGGAGTCCAGCCCGATGTGCCTCTGCCCGGAGTCCAGCCCGATGTGCCTCTGCCCGGAGTCCAGCCCGATGTGCCTCTGCCCGGAGTCCAGCCCGATGTGCCTCTGCCCGGAGTCCAGCCCGATGTGCCTCTGCCCGGAGTCCAGCCCGATGTGCCTCTGCCCGGAGTCCTGCCCGGTGTGCCAGTCTTTGATATCCCGCCAGTTACCAGACCCGGGCGGTGGAACATTTTTCCCAGCTAGGACTGTTTGGAGCGTCCTGAGGCCGCTCCTTGAGGGGGGGGTACTGTCAGGAATGGACTGGCCAGCAATGGTGGGACTCACCTGCCTTTTGATCTGCAGTACCAGGGCTGGCCAGCGGGTGCTCCCAGCAATCAGAGACTCAACCTTTCAGCCAGCTAACACCTGAAACTGATGATACTGGTGTATTTAAGGGATGGCCAGACTTGCAGACTCTGCCTTGGTGTTGTGTTTGTCCTGGGCCCTGTATCTGTCCTGCATCCTGTTTCTGTTCCTTTGCTACCTGTTCTGATCCCTGGCTTGTGACCCTGACCATCCCTCTGCCTGACCCTCTGTACTACGCTGCTTGCTACCTGTTCTGATCCCTGGCTTGTGACCCTGACCATCCCTCTGCCTGACCCTCTGTACTACGCTGCTTGCTACCTGCTGAACCTGGCCTGTGACCCCGACCATTCTCCGCTTGCTCCTCCTGTACCTACCTGCCCAATTGATATTGACTCGGCCTGCCTGACGACGCTTGCTTGTATGTACTGTTATCTGTGGGTGGTTGGTTGGGTTTGTTTGCACTGTATTATGTTTAGTATTGCACTGCGTTTATGTTTGTATTGTTAGTGTTAATAAATTACATTGTTAATCACATATCTGAAGTCTGCGTTTCCCTGCTTCAGTCACACACCTCTGGTCATACCTAGGAGCCCTGACAGGAAGTCAGCAGGCACATAGATAGCTGAACCACAATTCAATACCCTATTAGGGTTGAAAGTGAAGAATCCACCTGAGTCTCTTGCTGAAGATGGGGTCTTTACCCAGTCTGACAGGCAAATTAGGTACAGAGAGAATCTCAAGACATTCCAAAGCAACCTATGGCAGGGTGCCATCTGAGGTTGCTCTATTAATATGAATAAGAAGATGGTGTAAGGACCAACAAAAGTTATTAAGCAACATTTATAGTTAGCAGCCATGAGTTTGCCATTCCTTAGAGGCAGCCATGTGCTACCTTCCTCAAGTATTTAAAGAATGAATTCCCTTTAACTCCTCATCACCCCTTCAACATGTATCAAGTAAAAGGCCTTAAAATGATAGAAATATTAGCAAGTATGGTCTATGTAGTGTATCTAATCATTGTTTGGTCTCTTTTGGAGATGTAAAGAATCCAGTAGATCTTGTAGACAAAGTTTGAGCTTTACCTGATCAAAGGACTTCCAGAGCCTCTGGGAATACACAGAAATGTCTGGAAAGATCAGGAGCTTAGCATTCTTAAGAAAGAGATCTACCTGTTTACTGGCTTCATGGAGAACTAGATCCCAACTATACAAGTTCAGGAGACAACAAATAAAGGTGTGCAGTGGAGTACCTGTTGGGCCTCTGGTCATTGGCATTCTATGCCTTTTCTACAGTAAGGCACCAGTTGTGCTTTCTGGCCACAGCTTGGTTGGAGCCCTGTCAGGGTGCCTTAATGTGAAGTGTAATTATATTCTGACCCTGCGTGGTCAACTTGCTAAATGTTCTTTATAGTAGTTTTTTTTTTTTTTACAATATAAATGAGTCTTTATTCTGTAAATGTTACTAAAATATGAAAAGAGAAGAATGAGATCTGAAATGAAGGCAAGTAAAGATTTCATTTTCAAGTCAATCAGTATGGCCAGGGACCATTTCCAAGATCCAGATCTTCAGCTGCAGAGGATAAATGCACCGCAAGTTCAGCAAGTTTGCTAGCAAAGCATGCTTGGATATGTAGTTCTGCCATCACTGGAGATTTGTTGGTTGTCTATTACAACTCTAAGAACAAGTCATTAAACTTCTGAGAAGATCTTTGCAAATCAGGGACAATCGGCAACCTGGGTAGTTCAATAATGTGTTTTTTGTTTTGTTTTTTTTTTCCTTTATCATTTTCATCCAAAATACAAACATTTCCCCTAAATGTTGCGATCCAACCTCCCCACACACACCCCTTGCCCAAACTCCCTTACAATTTACCCTGGTCCATATAACTCTTCACTTCTTTTTCCAACATTCCAATCTATACCTGTAATCTTACTCCTCAGTCCTCACTTCCGACTATTCCTTTTTCTTCCTATTCTTTATTTTCCTCCAACCTTTCTTTTCCCTTTTCCTGTTTCTGCTACCACCTTACCAAACATTCCCTTTAATTCTGCTACCTCAAATAAGATCCCTGGGCCTCCCACTATTTTCATATATTTTCCGGATGCCTTGAAGTCAGACCATCTTCCCCATTCCTTTCTAAATGTACCCATATTACCTTTGTCTATATGGTATAACTCCTCCATCTTATTTATATGTTCCACCCTGTCTAACCAGTCCCTCATTGTTGGAGGGTCCTGTACCTGACAAAATTTAGGAATAAGCCCTTTAGCCGCACTAATTAGATATATATAGTATAATACACTATTTTTATACTGCTTCATTGGTACCTCTGTCCTGTGAAATAAACACACCCATGGATCCTTCTATATAGTTGTTCCCAGTATCTCTTGTGTAAACTGGATTAAGTCTTGCCAAAACCCCTATATTTTTGGACAGTCCCACCATATATGTGCCATTGTTCCATTGACTCCACATCCCCTCCAACATAATGGTGAGACTTCTACTTGTTGTTTATGTGCAACACTCGGTGTCCAATACCACTTCAATAAACATTTATAATTCATTTCAACCATGTTCATGTTGATCACCCAATGCGTTAAGGTAAACATTTTATTTTTCTGTGATTCATTCATTTTTGTTCCCAGTTCCCTTTCCCATTTCTCTAAGAACAATGAAGGACCCGCCCCTCCCCCAATTCAACAAGGATCTTATATATCCCAGAAGTAACATGTTTCGGAGCCATATTGGAACCCAACATTTTTTCAAATGGGGGCATATCCTCTGTCATCCTCAGTGGTTGAGGCAACTTTGCAACAAAATCTCTTAATTGATAATATCTCAGTTCATCTAATGCCACAAATAACTCTTTTTTACTCTTTAAATCTTAAGAAGTGCCAAACTTCCCTTTAACTACTATAACCCCCAAACACGCATCTACTTCTTTAAACCATTTCCCCGAAATATTATCCTTCCCCGGCAGGAAAAAATCAGTACCCACCAGGGGAATCATCAGTGAATTGTACTTCCAATCTATTTGCTTCTGCATTCTATCCCATACTCTTAATACCTCCTGTGTCAATGTACTACTAGTCTCATTCATAATACAAAACTTTTGTGTGGTATCTAGATATCTCTAATTTTGTATTACTTAATATACCTTCTATTTTAACCCAACTTTTCCCCTGTGAATTATATGTCCAATCTACAATTCGTGACAGTATCACTGCCATATAGTAATACTTAATATTGGGCAGGTTTAATCCTACTTTCTCTTTCTTATTACACAGAACTTCATACCTAATTCTCGGTTTCTTATTAGCCCATATATATTTAAGTATTAGCTTTTTTATTATCCCAAAAAAAGATCCTGGGATATGGACTGGGAGTATGTGGAATTTATATAGGATTTCTGGGACTTTCATCATCTTAACCAAGTTTATACGCCCGATCCAAGAGATCCTTCCCTTTGAGAGTCTTCTCAACTCATCCTTTATTTCATTTATTAATGGAATATAATTTACCCAGTACATATTTTTATAGAAGCCAACTTTACACCTAGGTAACCTAATTCCTTCTCCCTCCATGCAAATGGGAAATCTTTTTGTAATCGCCAATTATATTGAATTATTTTTTCCCTCATCTGATCCAATAATGGTTTCAACAATCTTCTTCTAGCTAAAATCTCTGAGAGAATGTCTGCAAAAATTTGTAGTTTAATTTCTCCAAATTTTAATTCTGGCATCTCGCACTTTTTTACATATTCTTTCTCTGTCCTCGTAATGATGGAATCGGACAATTATGTCTCTGGGGGTGTCTGATGTTACTCCTGGTGGATGTCTTAATTTATGAATTCTCTCCATTTTCAGAGGATCTGTGACTAATCTACCTGTCAATGGGTTGAACACTTTCTTTACTTTTTTCCTGGAGGTCCTCTTTATGCGAATCTTCTGGGAGGATCCTAATCCTTAGATTATTTCTTCTCTCTCTGTTTTCTTGGTCCTTCAATTTATATGACCGCTTCCTCTGATCTCTTTGCATCTCTTTCAACTACATTTCCAAGTTAGATATCTGCTGAGCCTGTCTCTCCATTTTCTCCTCCACTTCTTCCACCCTTGTTA